GGTCATGCCTTCACCTTAGCAGGATTTGCAAATTAACATGGGGGTGAAGTAAAGTCAGATTTTTTTGTATCAAGTCTGATTTTGCTGAACTTTCACCCGCAAATTTGTACTGTTGACCAGAAGAAAAGCGTCTTCACAGTGCTGCTGACCTTTGAGGGCATCAAAGAGCCATAGATTCCAAAATGGTGGAAGCTATGGTAGCTTATTAGCCATGGTACACCAACCACTTTTAATCACTGTTGGAGTAAAAATTGTTGGAGTAAAAATTGTTGTTTGCAAACTAACTATAGTAAGCTAGCAAGCTATTTAGCTTGGATAGCTTTATGGTCCTACAACAATAAATATTTATTCAACAAAATGGTGTACAATGGTGAACAAAATACAGGGGCGAGAACAGGAAGATATTTAACACAGGCCAAGATAGCTAGCGAGTTAACGGTTAGTTCACCAGCTACTGCATTTTACCAGCAAGCTACATCTAAGCCTCTAGACCACATATTTCACTGACCAGGGGTTTAGACTTCAGAAGTCTTTAGATTAAAGGGCTAGTTTGAGTAAGAGCTTGGGTTCAGGTTTGAGTTTTAAGTTAGGATCAAGTTTAAACTGAAGCAATTAGGGGTCAGGGAACAAATGTAGTCAATAGAAGATCCTCACTGAGCTACAAAATTGTGTGTGTGCTGCCATACCCAGTACTTGAAACAGGGTTCCTCCACAATCCTCATTAGCATTGTAAAGTCTGAGGCCAACTGATCCTTGCGTCCCTTTAACCTCTGGGGTCATAACAGAGGTGAGCTTTGTGTGTATATCAAACTGTTTGTGTTCAGGCTAAAAAACACACACCATGTTAATTTGGTGTCTGGTGCTTTTTATGTTTTTGGCTTGAATTTAAATTTTCTGTATTTTTCTGTATTTCCCTTGTACATCATTTGAAATCTGGAAGGTTTGTCTTAAAATAAAACCTTAAATGTATCACCTGACAGAATTTATCACATCCATGTAAAATCCAAGTAAAACTCTCCCTGATGCCATTTCACATTGGTAGTTTGGGGCTTTTAAGATCAAATTGTTTTTTTGTTCAAATAAATACTGTATGTTGTAGAATGAAATCAAACCATTCAAGTGGGCTGTCTTCTCATAACTCCGTTTTTTTCACTGTTGTATGGCCATTCTGGGGACAGTAAATTTTTTATTGGTGACTTGGGCGAAGATTGGGACCAGCAGGGTGCTAAAGGCATGCCAAGTCAATCAAGCAATCAATCACATTTATTTGTGTGTGGATCATTTCGCAGACAAAAAAAACCCCATTCTGTCTCAAATATCTGGCAACATTGTGATCATTAAAAAGAAAGCACACCAACAGGGAACATTTGTAGTTCCCAGACGCCCTGTGGTTCTCCAGTAGATGCAACCAAATAAAATAAAATGGTAGATCGGTTAACAGATCTGTGAGGGTCTGCTTAGATTTGCTTATCTGGTGATTTTATTACAGTCATGATGCAGCAACAACATCCTGAACTATTTGTATGGCTTTATCTGAAAGGCTTCATTCAACAATAATATCCTTTAACCATCTGGAGACACAATTAATTTTACCTTGAGGAGTAACTGCATTAGATACATCATTTATAAAGTTAATATGTCAATGTCTCCGTGCATTAATTAAAAAAAAGATACAAAAAGATATGCATTTCACCATTCACTACTGGAACTATTTAACTATTAGTCTTGCAGTAGTTTCAGTTTTCATATGAAGGACCCAATCCTTAAAAACTATGAAAAGCTAAACACGCCAAACTGTTAACAGACATAACACAGGCTAATGAGGATGTGAGTCCTGAGCAGGCTTTAACTTCTGGTAATACTATTGTGAATACATTATAATGGCATTGTAAAAGTAAATCATGACCCATAATTAACATTTCCTAATAATATTTTAACCCTCAAAACATATATGTAGCATTTTGAATAAGTACATAATCTACAGTGTCAATCTTGTCTATCAGACATTGCTCCACAATTAGGTTGCAAGAGTATAATGATCTTGCAGGTCAAAATGCAATAATAAAATGGCTGTAATGTTTACTAGAACAATGCACATAATTGGGGATAAGCCCCACTGTGTTTAAATAACTCAACAAATGGTTAAATAACTTGTTAAAATAGACATTTCTGTCTCTGTAATAGAAATCCCCTATTGACCTACTGTATGGATTTACCCAATATAGATCTGTGTTCCTTGGGATTTGCCAAATTACTGTATGTTCTACAATTTGCACTTTATTGAGCATATTGACTGTAAGGCCAACCGCTGCCAGTTAGCCAGCCACACCCTTAGCCACAGAGGGCCCCAAATCAATACTGTGTGCTTATTCACTACATAGGCCTGACCCCCTGTTGTTATGGATGCAGTGTAAACCCATTGTGGGCTCCTCCCGATTCATGCCATGTAAAAGAATTGATGTCAACAAAACATTTGTGTATATGAATAATAAATTAATTAAAGTAAAAGATTTTATTTTAGAGAGTTTGTGTTCGCGTTTATCCAGAAATCAAGAAAAGGCTAATTGCAAGAAAGAAAGCTCTTCAATTAATTCTTCAGTGTACGATGACATCTCAACATGTGTCTTATCAATCTTTGTTCTTTTTTTTGTTCCAGATGGAGTCATTGTTCCCAGTGCATTTCTGCAGTGACCACACCTCAGGTTGGCACATTGACACAAGAAGCCCCGTAATATACAGACATAAGAAGGATCAAGGAGACAATGGACACTTCCTTATCTTCCTAGCAGGCAGTACTTTGTCCTCAGGATTAGACAGGAAACGGGGCACCAGCAGCAGGAACCAGGAAGTTAGACAGCACGCCACATCACGGGCCCCACTTCGAGCTCAGTGGCGTGTGACTAATCTTGTGTCATCTGACCGAACACGCTCTGTCTCTTACACTGTTGTATCACCGTGTGTGGGGGGCCAGATTAAGGACACATTAATTCACAACAGGAAAGCCCTTTTAAACCCAGCCGGTGCACTGATAAAAATCGAAAGGGCTATGCTCCGCTGAGGTAGGATGTGCATGAGTGAGATGGAAAGGCCGTGGAGTTGGGAGGTAGACAGAGACTTTGTGAAACGTTTTTCTAAAGAAAAGCCTATTCCTATTCCTAAATATTATTGGGTATATTAATAGCATTAAAGCTATAGTGTGGGACTTTTACAAATGAAAGTCTGTTACATTCAAGCCCACAAGGCACAAAAATTGAAGATGACATCTTTATCTGTATTCTTTAGCATTTTTATTGTACCTCTGTGTAATGTAATGTAATTTAATTTAACTTAATTAATCACGGTTTTAATGCACCAACCGGCGAGCACGCTAAATGACACAAAGGCACCCAGGTTGTTGTGTGACAAACATGTGCATGCTGGGTTTGGCTAAATGCTAAAATGCTCACGATTGATCCTACATTGGTGATTTAAAGTTAATAGCTAATTTTGCTTTTTGCACCATCCACATTAACCTAATGACTGACTTCAATTGAGTTTTTCTCTCTTTTCTGGTTAATTGTGGTGAAGCTCAGACACGTGCAGAAGGGGGTGCAATGGGTGCTTGAGCTCCTTCCCTTTTGCCCTTTGATGCCCAAAGTGCCCTTTTGCCAATGAAAAATTTAGTCTATTTATTTATTTTTAAATTTGTAAAGGCCCTTTTGTGAAGGCCCAATCAAACTATTAGTAAAATTAATGAATAATAATTTCGCAGTAAATAAAATGACCCACATTATGACCTTTCACCTGATGACCTCATCCTTGACAAGCCCTACCGTTCAGACACCGTTAGTGATTCAGCAGCACTGCCGACACCTGCGATTCCACCGGTAAGAGGGGTTTACCCCAATGTGCTTGCTGTGGGTTGTTTGATTTATTTTGCTAGAAAGACGCAAAGAGAGCATGCACAGTAGTTGTGTATATTGCTGTCTGTCGCCTGTAGAAGTAACGTTAGCTGCCGGCTAACACTGTGCCGACAGATAAACAAAGGTGCTCTGTTGACTTTGTTCTTGCTGTTTGAGGAAGAAAAGTTTCACAGGCGTTGTGAGGTCTGGTGTTTTTAATGTAATTTGACTATAAACTAGGATTATTACAGTAGCTTAATAAAAAATTTAGTTTACCTTAAAATAATTATAATACCATTGGTAATACCAACGTTGATACTGATACTTATTCCTCCGACTTATAGCTTACTTATCAGCCTTTTTTTTAAATGATCATTTATTTCAGAACAGTATTGGAATAGATTTAGCCTACATTTTAACTGTGTTTACAACAGCAAACCTATTATATTAACTAAATAACTAGAAATACATATAAAAATGTCAGTGTTAATGTAAAATAAATAATATTCCTGACATCAAAGTGAAGAGTGAAGAAGAAATGGCCCTATTAGATTTCAGACAAAGGTATGGAATGTTAATGTGAAAGGTAAATGCTACTCTGTCATGGTTATTATGGGCCAACAGAAAGAACACACACAGTTTATTTATTTAGATTTATGATTAGACAGACAAAATCGCCTATAGACACACACAAACACATAAACACACACACCTGTCTATAGATTTGTCTCACTCTTACCCCTGCCTTGGCCAACCTCGTCCTTTCTCCCAGTACTGTTTCCTTCTCAGATTATTTCCCACACTTTTTTGAATCTGGTATCTTATTTCCTTTACCTGCAGCTCTCGGTGTGCAGCAGTCTCTATGATCATCTCCCTCTTATTTTCTCGTAGCAGTCAGCCTTGGCAGCAGCTGCAGCACTACAGCAGGTCAGTTATAGTGAGCCAGTCCCAAACACTGTCAGCAATCTTCACATCTTGTCATGGGCTCATATTTGTTTAATTATCTAATATATATCCTTATTTTGTTTTAATAAATCTAGTCACAGATCACTTCCAGTAGTATCAGCAGCAACAACAACAGCAGCAGCAGCAACCCCTCAACAGCGACTGTTCCCTGTAAGTCATGTCAGCCCACAGTGTTTTAAAGCTAGAGCTAGGTATTGCCTGTGTTTCTTTTTAAAAACTGTGTCACAGCATTTGCTGATGTATCGATACAGAAGCATCAGTATACACATATCAGCAAGGAATACATGACGATATATTTCTGGATCAATATTTTGAGAAAAGCCCTATTTAGATCCTTGTTCCATGTGCCCCTTTTATACTTTGAGCACCTGCCCTTCCAAAGGTCTCTGCACGGCCCTGGTGAAGCTATACAGGGGATACGTTGTTGTATATTTATAATTGGTTGAATTGAATCAGTGTTATGCACAGGCTGCAAAATTTGTATATACAAACTGAATTTATTGTTGGTTTGGACATCAGAACTCTGTGGTGTAATGTTGTAGTGTTGTTGGATTGACATTTAATGCAATTGTAGCCCATTGGAATAAGATTTTTCTTAAAATTTTCTTTCTAGTTCTGTTTTCCATAATCTGTGTATTACCTGCAGTAGATGGCAGTCAGTGCGTCCCCAATTTGGAGAAACAGAGTTGTGCCGGTACAGAACCAATGTACTGCAATGGATCAGCAGCAAAAAATGTTTTAGCCACCTAAAAGATGGCCAGTCCTCTGGCATATTCAGAACAACTTCAGCAAAAAATCTGAAACGTGAATCGTCAACAACCAACACAAAGGACATGAAGGAAAAGACAAATCAAATGTCATGTTACAAAGTTGGCTAATTACTGTTGTTATTTGACCAACTGATGTCACAAGTTTGCATGTTTTCAATTGTAATGTATTAGATCCTATAGATGACATAACACATTTGCATACATCACCTCTTTCTTATTGGAAATACACTATTGTGCAAATGCCCACTGATGCCTGACACAGACCATTGACGGACTTTATGGTGTGTGCCGCACCCTGCAATAGTTTTCATTCAAAATAATTGTACCAGTATGCCTCCATACCTTTATCTCATCAGAACTTCAGCAGCAGCACTTCTCTTCATCTTGAGCAAGAATGCAAAGCCTGCTTGATCTGCCAACGCTGCTGGCTGCCACATGGAAGAGACCGTGGCTGACGAAGTCTGTTGTGCAGAGAAACCAACATGGTGCAGAGACTGCGCCTGAGACTTATTCACGGTCATGCCCAAGCAGGGTCTCACCGGAAACTACCAGCACCGCAGAGTGGATGGGAAGCTGTTGTCAGATGGCCACAGGATGATGTGAGAAATGTACGCCCTGCGTTGACACCAACCACAGACTTTGCAACCAAGAATTACACCCGCCAATTGTGAGGTTGATCGAATGAACGGTCTTCATACATACAAGGACACATACATAGAGAGAGAACGAGATTACTTACATTTTAGACAGATGACAGATATAATGCTGAATGCAGGGTTGAATGACTGAATGCAGTATATATTTTTTGAAGTGTGGTATTTTGTTGTTGTTTATTTACACTCCAAATAACATAGTATCTGCATGCTTGGCCAAGCCCTTATCCGTAAGTCCGAGGGATGATGTGTCCTTGTGCTTCTTCGTCTGCCTTTGAAGTTTTAGGTTAAGCCTTTGTATGGAAGTGTGTGTGTGTGTGTGTGTGTGTGTGTGTGTGTGGAAGAAGAGGCTGGCCCTGTGCCCCTGTGTAATCCTGTTAAGCACCTGGACAATGGAGGAACAGCTGGGTTGGCCTTCCTGCTCTCTGCTGCATCGAGTGGAGGAGAGGATGATGTGTACAGTATTCAGATGGAGAACCAAAAAGAGAAAAAGATGGGCAAATCGAAGTATTTATTGATCTATCTGTTTTATCTATCCTCCTCCCTCCTTCGGGTCACCAGTGATGCTCTCTTGGCCCTGGCGCTCCATCCATCCTCATGGTTAAATACTGGCACAGATGTTATGGAAAGATTGAGAGGCCCACTTGTGCCATTAGTCCGGCAGCAGGGCCTGGGAACAGCAGGGGAAGACTTCTCTAATCAGTTTTATTGGAGCTATGCTATTGGAGTAACACAACAGGGACAGGCCCAGAGCTCAACAACACTCCAGTGTAAATATGTGTGTGTGCAGACTGGGGGTTTGCGTGTATGTTTATAACCTAAGGCTATAGCACAGAAAGTAATGTCTCTCTACCTCTCTGTCTGTTTGTGGAACCTGAGACTCAGCTATGTGGCAGATGAGCATTAATGGCAACGAGACTAATACTACGTCTACACTACTACACTTTTGTTAAAAAACTGAGTTTTAAAATGAGAACGATCTCTGTCCACACCAGCGTTTAGCTGCGTTTAGAAAGGTACAAACCAGTGTAGACTAGTTACACCTCGAAAACCTTATTTTGGTTGTGAGTAACTGCCACTCTAGGTGAATGTCTTTCAGTGAAACAAAGCTCTTCCATGCTTCATAGGCTGATTGTATTCAAGTTGTTCAAATGTCAAAGAAAAAAGCCAGTGAAGGAAATCTGTGTCCCAGTGCCTCAGGACAAGTTCACTTCATGGGCTACTTGACCCTGCATGGCCAACGTGGTGTGAGGTCAGCTGGTCAGACGCCAGTTTGGCTGCTAGCTTATTGAGTAAAGAGGCTGTCAGGGTTTCATATTCCCCCCCGGCCATGCTGCACTGTGGTGGTTAAGTTTCTGTATACTGAATAGTGAGCAAAGCCTGTGGGTGTCTGGTCACAATGGTTCAAGGAGGATCCTGAAATGTTGCCATTTGCTTTTCTAAATAGGCCTGTTAAATGGAGCAATGAAAAAGAAAGTGTTAGCGACTGATTCAACAGTGATTTGACTCTTTTTTATGGCTGCCTCAGTTCATTTGACACCAAGCTCTGAATGGTTTCATTATCACATATGTGTGAGAATTTGTGTGCATGTGTCTACCTCGCTTTAACTGGCTGCTCAAAGGGGACATGATTAAGATTGGACATTAAAACACTGTTCTCACAACAACTCACTAATGAAAGATTTTTGCCCAACTGGCACTGGCAAATTATGAACAAAAAGCTCCCTCTGTGTTTTAAAAAAAAAATGGATCCCAGTTTAGTTGTTCTTTTCCTTACTTTTGTGTGCTGAATTGCCTTTTGTTTCTCTTTATAATTCTGCTCATAATTTGATAATTAAATGACTGGAATCAGTCTGGCTTTTTTTGTTTTTACAGAGTCAGTCATTTTGCTTCAACAATCAGGATCAGGAGACAATGAGTGGAGGAGAGATAGTCATTAGAAGGATTGGATTTGAACGCTGGCCTCCTACAAAGTAATTAGACAGTAATGAATAGTTACAATGTAATTACTAGAACAAAAAACAGAATAGGACACCGCTTTTCAATTACCATCACGTACCATCCTTTCCCCTCGGCCTTTAGCTCCGTGCTGTAAGTAGCACTCTAATCATGTTTTTACCTAGAGGAATGGTTCAGAGTGTTAAATAATATATGGGTTATGGCTATTGAGAGCAATGTGTGGGTCGCCCTCAGGCTCTTCTTACGCCATTGGCTTTGAGACGCCCAGCTGTCTACTCTAGCAAAAATGCTGCTGTTTTGTATTGATTTCCACATGTGCGTGCTAACTAAAACTCACATTAAAAACAAAGCCACAGGTGGCTGAAAAGTGATTAAATCTTTCTGAGCAAGCTAAGCTGCTAATTGAAGATTGACATTAGAAGCTATTAGCAAGTTTTCTACTTTAGTCAAAACAAAAGTGCTGCAAGCATCACATCTCTGTTTCCGATACCTGTTTCCATGAAACACAATCTGGTGCTGTTTTTGAACATTGTAACCCTTAAGAGGCATAAATGATATTGCACAAAGGGCACTCTCAGATCATCATAAACCCAAGATTTATGAGTCCTGGAAGTGTTTTCAGTCTGCCTGCTGATGTGTTTAAAGGCAGCTTTGTAATAGAAAGAGAGAGAAAAAGTTTGCACGGGTAACTTACTGAACAGCAGTTTGTTGGTATTCTGCAGGGCAAGCCTTTGAGCACCGACCAAATGCGTGATCATCGTTCCTGATTAGATCAGCTCTCCACCCATGACGCACTGCTCCGTCTGTCGTCAAGGATACTGTGGCCTTTGAACATCTCAATGAAGGATTCACGCAGCTGTAATTACCTGCTATACCGAGAACTCTGACTGCTTTCTGAATTTTCTTTTTCAAAGTTTATACTCAGATTGACTTTAGATTCAATACTGAAACGATTCAGAGCTTACCTAACAAGTTTGTATCTTTAGAGAGGAACGTGCAAAGTGGCCAATTTTCTTTCAATCACAGCCATATAGGACATTATGCTAATGTCCTATATGGCTGTGATTGAGGCTTCCTTTGAAGTGCAATACTTTCCCCCTGCAGTAAGCTATTTTTGGTTAATCTTTGACTCATATGAAATGACTGCATACAGCCGTTTGAACCCACCTCAGGCCCCCTCAACCTAAAGTTAACTACTTGTTCAAGAACATATTGAACATGCAACCGTACAGGTATGACACCACTCTGCTACTGCATTGCCAGTCCAGTTATCTCTCTCCAGTCTCTTAAAGTTATACGAGTCTCTTCATTTTTATATGAGAACATGAGCCAGACATCTGTCCAGTGTCTCATGTACACAGACACTACAGAACAGCATGATGAAATGGAGGAGAAGGGGCAAAATTGTAGAGATGATGGAAAGTGGGTGATATGAACAATAAAAAGGATGGTGATAGGCCATAAATGACCACAATGATGATGTCACCTTCAGTAAAAACGTTGTGCATCTCAGATTTTCGTTGTGGATGTGTGGATGTGGCTTTGTGTGTTCTGGACACACGTTTGGCTCTTTGTATGTGTGTCCGTCAGCGAATTATGAGTTTAGGGATGGTCACAGTGGCACTTTAATCAGAGTCTGGTAAGATAATTAATCCTATACTCAGACAGCAAACATCAGCGCTGGAAAAGAGTGGGACAGACGGACAGAAGAGACAAATATAAGAACCATAAAGTTCATCAGGTGGTGATGTCACCCCTGAAAAGTCACATTCGGAGGTCAGCAGAGAAAGAGGTGACCTCATCAGAAGGGGACAAGAATGGTTGAGAGAAAGGGTTAAGTGTTATCTCGGGGGCTGTATCTGGATCTGCTCTGACGCCCTTGACTGAACCATTATGGTCCTTGTACCTGCATGACTGGTGATAAGAAGGATGACGCATCTGTGCTCTCCGCTCTTAGTCTTAGCAGTGACAGCCATTGTGTGTATCTGCCTCTTGACTGGAACTTCAGTTTGCCATAACACAGTGTATACTGTTAGTCAGTGCACTTCATGTATTTCATTATAAAATAAATTATGCTACAGTATGAAATGTACTGACCTTTTGTATAGAAAGAATGACCCAAACGTATACTAGGAACAATAACGCTTGAGTTTAGAAAATATGCAGTACAATATAATGTTAACCACTGAGTGAGTTCCACGCTTCCCATTATGACGCTGAAGGCTGTCCTTGCAATAGACTGTACTTCCCCCAGGACAATACAATATGTTCCTACAGGTAGTTTGATCTTAATACACGTTTCTTTCTATTTGACAGGAGACAAAACACAAACAAGATTTATGTAGGCATATCCAGGGGAATAAGCAAAGGTTACTATATGTTCATTTATACTGAAAATATATATTATATATTATGTTATATATATATATATTAAAATTGAACACTCTTTCCTAGAAATTACTTTTGTACTAATTTGTTTTCCCAATTACATTTTCAATGTGTTTTCGGGAGAAGGAAGTGTTATTTTTCTGTACCACATGCAAGTTGTATGGAGGTTGTTAGGTGGATGGCTTACAAAGTACAGGACTTTGACACTGATGACCAGGGTTCATGTGTGGTTGGTTCTATGTAGTAAGGTTTAGGCTACTTTAGACAATTTTGTTAGAGGTAAGAACTCAGATAAAGTCAAAATGGAAACCAGCATATTCTTGATATTTAATAAATAATCACAATAATGCACCAAGAAATGCACCTTAAAGTGTTCACATAAAAAAGCAATAAAGTAATAGTATAAATAAGAAAAAGACTTGGTTTGACTTGTGTACTCAATACAGTGGGTATTGAACATGAACTAAAAGTAATGTCTAGTGGAAATTAGCGCTAATGCCAGGTCCACTAACTGGGTAGTAGCTAGTAGTTAGCCTAGCTTGCTAGCTCCCACCTTCCACCTGAAATATAAACTTAAAAGCACAATGACTCCTCCCAAATTTTTAATGTTATAAAGGGAAAGGGGTCTTAACAAGCAACTGTACATAACCAGCGCTATGTGGGCCTTTTGAAAAAGGGGAAAAACTATCTTCCCATATCACTATTCATAGTTTAAACAGGGCCATGAATATAGTGTTTCCTGTCAACACAGTTTTTTCAATTGTCAGTGACTGACAACTCACCCCCACTCCCCTTCCCTAAGCTTAGACAATGTTTCCACAAATATTTCTATATCTGGAAAATTCAAATTTCAGTTCGACATTAAATGTTAATAAAAGAAACACATTGTGTCTCGTTCTTAAAGTCACTGTTGACTGTTTCAGTATTAAACCAAGACCACAGTCTGTCCCTAACCTTATCCAAATGCTGCGAGTGCCTACACATAAACATAAAAATGTCCAATGGCAACTTTTCCTCATTGTGTTGATAAGAAATGTAACCTAGGCAGCATTACATTTCTGTCAAAGCTTTTTTGATGTGGTAAATTAGCATAATTCCTAGTGTGACAGGTTTGTAATACCATCACTGCTCTTTCAATTTATCTTCACGGCATTTCCGAGTCTTCCATCTTCTCCTCTCCTCCTTCCATCACCCTCCCTCTGTCCCCTCGCCCCTGTGGAGAGGGGCCTGTTGGACTGGAAGCTAATTTGAAGCCAATCAATACTAGTCTCTGTTTCTTCCTGTGTGTGTCAGCCCAGTCCGGTGCCCTTGTCTAACTGCCGGCAGAGAAAGGGAGCATCTGTTCGGTGACTATCGCTCTCTGACTGTAAATCTATGGCAGCCACTAAACACCACTTCTCCAACCATTGTACTGAGTGCAAAAGACTATCTGATTGAATCCAAATGAGATTGATTTGTATGCCAAATAGCCTTCTCAGTAACTTGATTAACTGTAGGAATGGCATTTTAACTCATGTTTGAGTTCTTTGTATTGATTTTTTTGCTTGAAATATAGGGATTTTGCATGTTGGTGGAATGTGTGTACACACAGATGCACTCTTAAGCATACAAATACAAACACAAACAGTGGCACAATCACAAATACGCATGCAGCAGGTCCTTCACTCTGCCTGCAAGCAACAACACTGATGTGCAGATACTGAATCAGCCCAAGATAAAACCAGTCCCCTCCCTCTTCTCCCAGCCCCTTTCCTTAAACAGCCAATGAGGACGCTGTCTATTCATGAGCAGGAGTAGAAGCAGGCATGTGTAGGCAGCCTGCCACAGGAGGAGGTGTGTCTCCATGAGCCAAAAGTGAGTGTGTGCGTAAGAGTGTGTGTTCACACTAAGAGAGGAGGTGGTGGAGAGTGGAGAGAGAGTGTATGTAGGCATGCAAGTGAGTAATCAGGGGAAGGAGTGACAGGCAAGACGGAAAGAGAGAAGCCAGTTGCTTTTACTCATTTTACTGCTGATACACTCCTCGGAAACACACACACTGAAGGAACTGCAAGCACAACCTCTTCTAAAGCAGCGAACTGATCCACGTGTGTATGTGTTTTCTGGGCTCGGAGCGACTCTGAGGATACACGGATGAGAAAGAGGTGTGGGGGAGCCAAGGAAGAGGAGTCTGAGTGTGTTTTCGCCCCAGGGGGAGCTCACACACACCGCAGACAGCACACACACTCCAGCGGGCACTCAGCACTGTTTCCCTGACAACTAGAATGGGCTGCAATTTGTGCACCTTGCAGAAACGGGAGGAACACTACAAACTGCTGTATGAGATTGCACAGGTAAGTGAGACTTTGAAGTTTGGTGTGCTTGATGAGAATCCTCAGTGCGATAAACTTAATGACAGCAGAGTCAATGATGATAAATGATGACAGGAATGATTTGGCATCTGAAAAGAACTGGATTCCCTCCAATGAGCAAGGAAGGTAAAAGTGAGACAGTATAACAAGTAGGCCTAGTCAGAGTATTTTCAGAAAGAGGAGACAGCAGACAGGTGGAGTGTGGAAACCAGGAGAATAATGGGAGAGGAACATGAGAGAAATGTACAAAAATGATTACTTCTATGCAGCCGGAGAGCCAGTGTGTGTGTGCGTGTGTGTGTATTCCTCTCTCCATCAAAGTGAGTGGAGCTAGTTATTTCTCCTCTGCAGCAGGAGATGTGAAAACAAGTTCAGACCTTTTCCCGCGCTGGCTCCAGGGGAATTCATCACATCTCCTCTGCTTGCGACTGTCTAGAAGCAATACAGTTCAAAGAACAACCAGCAAATGTGTTAGGCTGTTTTCCCCTTCTTTTTCTTTTCTGACCCGATATGACAGTTTTCGCATTTCTGCTGTCATGTAAAAATCCTAGTCAGCTTTTGCGATTCTGAAGCTTTTTTATTGAAAGTACATTCACATTATGTGTTCCTGGCCCTTTTATTCATTATTATTCATTATATATATATATATATATATATAGGCAGAAATAAATAGAAGAAATACTTCATACATTTGCATACATCTTTTGACTGGCGAAAGCCATACACTCGTTATTACCTCAACAAACTATCATATTTTCATCATGAGCAGTAAAACACTGTGAATGTATGACTTGTGATCTTGTACTGGGCATGACTGGAATGTGTTGATTAGATAGGAAGTGTCACCAAGTGTGAATTTATTGAAAAAAAACATCTCCAAAAATGTCATTGATTTAGAAATAGAAGAAAATCAACTGTTAGTTCTCTGTGATTGCTTTGTGAAAATCATCAGTGGTATTTTAAATGGTTTGATCTGGCAATGTCAACTTTTACAGAGGAAGATGCAGGTGCATGCTTTTTAGAGCAGAAATGTGGTATGCGTGGAGCTGATTGTGGGGAAACACGTGCTCTGGGTTCTCACTGTTGTTTTGTACAGTACGGGCTAATACCAAGCCAGCAGCAGCAAGGATTCATTCATCATTTAGTATCTTACACAGTTACAGACAGCAGAGAAACTGGATAGAGCATAAGCAGCAAAAGGAGCAATTCTGTTGAATACTTAGTTTTGTTTTATTGCACTGGTGGGAAATAAACTCTTACTGTTTCCAATAATTATGACAGTAAGGCTATTACGTTTTTTGATGTTGATGATAATGAGGTTGATAGTGGCAATGAATGACTGTTTTCTTTTTATGGGGTCTGTAAAATGTAAGACATCATCACTACCCTACCCTCTCATTGCTGCTAGATGCTGCTTTCATGAACATTATTCACAGTGATGGAGTCTCAAGCTCATTGGCGGATGTCTGTGTTGTCTGCCTCGGTGGAGTGCAGGAAAATTAGCCATGTCAGTTAAAAGAAACCCTAGAAGGTCAGGGCTCCTTTTGTACTGTCGAGGTGAACTGAATAAACTGGCCAGAACAAAGGGACGAGTATAGTATGTTAACCCACTGAGCAATATTTTAATTAGCCATTTAAATACATATAAAAGCTCACTGAATTATTATGACAAATACTAAAGGACTAGTTTGACATTTTGGGAAATACATTTGCTTTCTTAGTTAGATAAGAAGGTTGACACCACCCTCATGTCTATGCAGTAAATGTAGCTAGAGCTAGCCGGTTAGCTTAGCTTTGCACAAAGACTAGAAACGGGGAAACAGCTAGCTTGGCTCTGTCCAAGGGTAACAAAATCCACCTACCAGCACCTCTAAAGCTCATTACGTTGTTTGTTATATCTGTACAAAAACCCTGAACACTCTATGCTAACATAGCTAACCAGCTTCTGGCGCCAGCTACATATTTGTCATAGACAAGAGTATCTATCTAATGCTAAACAATAAAGCTATTTTCCCAAAATGCCTAACTGTTAATTTAAATTTAGAATCTACTAGAATTACATTTAACAGTTCATAATGGATTCATAATGGCAGCAGCTATACAGCCAACACACAGCTAATGATTGTAGCTCAGGCATAACACAGCAGATGTATGATTGTATCATAAAGCATGGTGTTTGCAAGGAGATTGGCTGGAACTAACACAAAAATTACCGTTTCCTCCTATTTCCGCCTCACACTGTAGGTGTCCTGGCACTGTGGCAGACGTCCAAGTATATTGTGTGTGTGTGTGTGTGTGTGTGTGTGTGTGCATGTGAGTGTGAGCGAGCACACCTGCATACTGTTAAACTGTGTATGTGATAGTCGGCGAACACCTACAGTTCTCATTACCAGTGCGAAAGAAAGCGAGAAAGAGAAAACAAAGAGAGGAAGAAGGACAGAAAGAAAGAGAGCTCACAAGGCAGTAAGTGTGTCAGTGTGACTTTGTCCTGAAACTCGAGGCTGAGGGGATTCTGCAAATCCAGAGAGACTCGTCAACCATCCCTCTGTCTCTTTTTTATCATTCCAGACTCATTTCTTCTCCTTCCCTTTTCAGACTTTCTCCTTCTCTATAACCTTCATTAGTCTCTCCCCCTCTGTCTTTACTCCCTCTCAACAATCTGTTTCTCCCCTCTCTCATTTTACTTGGGCGCACTCACACACACACACACACACACACACACACACACACTACAGATTCTAAAAGTGTTTTTGTTCTGTTGCACTTCCAACAGTGCTACACAATAGGACACCACCTGCTCATTATACCAGTGGAAAAGCAAAGGATGCTGATGCTGTACCATAGCTAAAGCAGGGTTAGAACAGGTGCACTCACTGTTACTTCGCTGATGTTGTCCTCTTGTGTGTCTCACACTCCCTTAGGTCTCGGTCGGCCTGGGATGGGGATCATTCATTTTATTGATATTGATATTGAGACTGCTTAATGATCAGAGTCTGTATCGATAACACTGTCAATACTTTATTTGGTAAGACGAGACCCAAGGGGCATGACATAGGCCTGCAAGGTATGAGGAAAATCTGCGATGTGCGATAACATTGTTATATACTGAGATCACGATATGACTTGTGATAAATAAACAAATATTAAAGTGTGCATATTAGCTGTCTAGTAAAGTAATTTAATATTTTAAATATAACTAAATGTTATTTCTAGAGCAGCAACATTAAAGTTGAACAGCACGATAAGTCATTATATAAACTCAATATGTGACATCACGATAGTGAGTGATGTTTAGATAGAATGAAGAACCAGACCAGTCTGTGCTACAGACAGCTTTCCATTTAGCTTGTTTGTAACATTTGGCTAATTGCCAAGCTAATGATAGCTATGCTCAAATAAAACATAGAGGATGAGTGACTGTGGACAGAGCAGATTAAAATAATGGAATAATGGAAATCCAAAATGAAGGAAGCTGTCGTAGCTTATTAGCTGTGTTGCACCGTCCTGTTTTCTTACCTGTTAGCGCACTTGTTGGCCTAGAGAGCATTTTTCCCTCTTTAATAAAATGTTCCTGACTGGCTTTCAACTAGTTTGTCCACTACAGTAGTTTACCAACTTTCCCTGCCAGTAGCTCCTAGAACCAAATATTTCACAAAGACACAGAGATTTTAGGCCACATTCTGGTGTGACCAGGGTAATTTTTCATTTTAAATATACTTTATGGATGAAACAATGGCACTTCAACAAAATAGATTGCAGCTATTTTGGAGTTATGGTAATGATTCCCCACCCCCACCCCACCCCAAAATGGATATATGTATTTGGAACAGACCTGTTCAACACTTTCTATTTTGAAGAAGTAACAGACCATTTCAGAGGCCAATTCCAGTTTTCAGCCTGCAGGCTTGCCTCAGTGTCTCCTGCATGACAGTGGCTATCTCTGTTCACACAGCTTCACTATTCTGACAGGACTGCTGGCTGCCCGACTCCTGCTGCCCAGCGGCCACTGAGAGATTTATGACTCTCATCAGACCATTTACATTCAACGTTTCATTTGTGATTTTGTATGTGTGCACACTCACACCGCGGGGTCAATTCTGTCTGTAGCAATTGCCTTGACATGTTTTCTGCTTGTGGCTGTGTTAAATTGCCCCACAGCCTCTGGCCTCCAGAGCCTCACAGGACCTGTGTGTTTTGTCCTTTCAGACATACCTAAAGTCAGCATTATTGTATCACAGAACAATGCTATACAGACTATATCTACAGTATACAACAGCCACGAACTACTCTATGTGTAATCTTCCCCTGCTCCCTCCAGTAACAGAGTAGTGTTTGTCTTCTATGGAAGTATTCCTGATTAATTGGAATTTAAACCAAACAAAAGCACGGGCGTGAGTGTTGAGTGTAGTTTATCAGGTCTGGTTCTTTTTTTGTGTGGCTTGTTAATAATATAAGCTATTAGTTGTTGGTTCAAATATCACATATAATTTTTAAAGTTATAATCCTTAAGGAATTCCTTATATCAAACCCCTTACATATCATTTTTTTATGTTTTTTTAGTAATACCATTCAATGTATTTCTGTTATTTAGTTGCCTACATAGTACTTTTGATTGTTACTGGATGAGTGGTATGGCTAATTGTATGGTTAAGGTTAGATCGTGGTTATGGCAAAGCTGGTGAACAATCAAAAGACATTTTGAAAGTATCCAACTGAAAAAAAACACCCAACCCCCCAAAAAACATTTTCATGTGCAATGAGTGCACGGGCATGTAGACAGGCAGGTAGGCCTTGCTTATTACAGCCACATCCACAGGTAATGGATTTTTTTTTATTTTTGTATTGGAACATTTGATTTAATCATTGGTGTCTGGATGTAAAGAGAACTTAACAAATATAACAAAAATGCTTCTGAAAAAAATTGCCTTGATTTAAGGTATGGATGGGGATAGGCAATAACAATTCTTTGTTAAGGTTAGATT